GAACAGACATTTATATTGCACACATGCTTCCTGAAATGTGGTCACATCTGGCTTTAAAACATAACGGGCCAACGCCAAACTCTTATAGATGATGCCACAACAAATTAAGTTCACTTTCCATGTACTGGAAATGTGTATTAAAGGTTCTGAGAATACAACTGTATTGAATTATGAGTGAAACAAGACTTGTATCATCTTGAATCAAAGATTCGAACATGAAAGTACCAAACACATGCAAACTGGCAGGATACAAGGAGGATATCATGTTCCACAGGAGAAATGTAAAAATTTAAACATTTTGCGCATGAGTCACTTTGGTTGTGGCACTTGTCACATATGACTGATTTATTGTCGATTTTTATTTTGTTTCAGGTTATAAAGACTTATCATCACGGCTATCATTTTCATCTGAAGTTTGAGGAAAACAAAATGTCAGAGGTTGACTTTTTTTTACTTTTAATAAAATGTGCACGTACAGAACGTCATGCAACAAGGAATTTCTTCTCTCTGTGATATAATCAGGAAAACATTCAGATCCTGATTCACTCATGACAATAAAAAAATAAACCTGAAGGATTTTTCCTTCATTTCTCGAGTCAAGGCACAGCTTTCTCCCTGGGCTGTTCTTTTGCAACAGCAGAGCTCTTCTCTCATCTGTGTGCTCACATACCTGACCTGTCATCTTTTGGCAACAAAAAAAAAACTATGATAAAGTTTGACATCATCATAATTCTTTAAGTATCTTGTTGTTGTTGTTTTTATTTTTTGTCCACTGAAAACTCTTCTGAGTCCAGATCCGTTGTACAAACTGAGGCAAACTCTCCCACAGCCTTCCTTCACTCTGCAGATAAACGTTATCCACCGAGCGTGAGACCTTGAAAGTTCCCTCTGCTGTTGTCTGTCTCTAATGATATCCATTACACTGTTGTGGAAAATATGCTCCTCGCCCTCAGGGCAACCATCCTGCTCGGGCACAGGTGAGCATATCTCAGGTGCATAAACATCCTGCCTGTTGTTTCCCATTCTGCTTGGAGAGTCGCAGAGATAATTACAGGCCCTGCATTCCTTGAAGGGATGCGTATCGCCTGCCTTATGCTGAGAAGGGATGGAGCTGCTATACTGAAATGTTACACTCTAGTTACTGTGAATGACTTTCAGCTACTAGCATGTCAAATATTCACTCAGTATCAGTAAATGTGCTGCTGTTGTTCAGTGTATTGTTTCTGTACTATTAACGCTTATACTGTAGTCTTAGTTTAGCGTATTTCTTAGATCTTATTACCGTTTTTCTTTACAATTTATACTTTTGTTAGATGTAAATGGGACCCTGTGTACACAATTTTGTTCCACCACATGCGATGAGAATGACAATAAAGAAACCTTGACCTTAAAACTGACTGGATGTAGTCATTTTTATGTTTACTAAGGTGAATTAGCTGTGGTGGCCATCTTCAACTAGACTGGCTCCAAAAGGTTTCTGCCCTTTCCTTCACTAAATTAAACGTGTCCAGAGCCACAAAACCTGCTACAATTGTCATTAACAACTGGTGGCCCATGGGCCACTTTAAGTTTGTTAGAGGGGGCTTTTCTGGCCAGTAGGCATGAAATTATAAAACTAAAAACATCAGATGATTGTTAACATTTACTGATATTTTTACATTTTAAGGCAAAATAAATGACTGGGCTCCTTCCACCCACCCACCCATCATTTTTACCCATTTCTTCCTTTTTGGGTTGCAGGGGGCCACTGGTGCCCATATCCAGGTCGCAAGTAGAAAACTGGATCCTTGTAAAGATTTATATATATATATATATATATATATATATATATTGTGGCGTAATTGAGTATCCTACTATGAAGAAATAAAGCATAAAGTTAGAGTATAATTTACTCTGTGTATTAGTACTAGTATCTGCATATTTGCAAAGGAAATTACAGGAAAACTGCTAAAACTAAACTAGTCATTTTGTGTTGTGGGTATAACATCCTAAAAAAATTCAGTTTTATGTTAGTTTTGGTCAAAACGTGAAAAAGCCGCTGCGGGGGGACCAAAGAGCCACATGTGTCCCCAGAGCCACAGGTTGCAGACTCCTGGTCTAGTGATTAGTTTGATGGTTGATGAGATCGTTTGTTAACCAATACACAGAAATGATTTCAAATAATTTAACAAATTTGAACAAAGATCCCAAGTTCTCATGTTAGCACTCAGAATATGTGTTAAAGCTTAATTTCAGGTACTACCACATTAAAAATAAAACTGTCAATGTCTGTAAAAGTTGCTGAATTATGATAATTTGTTGTGTGTTTTTAAGGTCACATGGTTGTAGCAGCAATCTAAAATCAGGTTGACTCCGAACGTTATGTCATGTTCTGTTGTGTGGTTGGACCCAGGCTGCAGACAGGACTCGGGAACTCGAGACTACGGTAAAAAAAAACATTTAGTAATATAAACAAAAAAGGCTAACATGGCAGCAAACTTACATGAACGAAGGGAAGACACAGAGGGAGACAGGAGCATGATGCCATACAGGACAATCCACGGACAGGGCAGCAATAAAGAAACACAGGATATACAGACCAACGAGGGGATAAACACAAACACCTGATGGACGACAGGCGGCAGAACCAGGAGCTGATCACCTGAGGGAGAAACACTGAAGAGGGCAGATGACACAAGGATCACAAAACACACAGATCCTCTCATGTTAAGTTGTAGAGGTGCACACAAAGATTGCATTCTGCAAATTTCATTAAAATTCATCCAGTGGTTCATGATGTATTTCAGCAAGCAATAACGTCATCCTTCACCTTTTGGCAGCAGAAAATAAAACTACCAAACAAACGTGCAATTTTAAAGTTCAAAATAAAACTTACGAAACTGTAAGTGAGTTTATAATAGCAACAACAACAAAAAAGCTCTTGTGTTTACAGTCCTGGTTATTAGTTTTTTAGCTCTTAAAGCTTGAGTAGGTTTTAGTGATTGTCAACTGTTGGAAACATTTTAAGCTTGATTTGGCTCGTTTCGTTATTTTTGTACAAAATGTTTAGAAACGGGCCAGTAAAGACTCTGAACTAAACACCAGTGTCCCAATGGTGCAATCATATAAAACGCTGCAAAGAATTTGGGAAGCGTTCCATATCTGCCATTAAATCTGTAAAGTCAACATGGAAAGATATGATCACAGCTCACAATCAGGCCTCGACGTTTCTCACCTGCCTCGCAACGTTTTTTTCATCCTGACGGTTCTTTCGATGATGAATTATGTGTAAGTCCCGTGAAGCAATCAGGAGAAACTGAAAACAAATATCTCTATTTTAATGGGTGTGAGTCAGCTACAACATGTCACATCCTGGATGAGACTTTCCAAACTATACTTTTCCATCAGGTAATTGAGACTTTAAACCTCCCTATGCAATGATTGCTTCCTTCAAAAAAATAAAAAAAACCTCAAAAATCCTAATTGTTTTCATTGCTGTGTGAATATGATTCAACATCACTCTGTCAGTATTTTAAAGATGTACACTTGAGTTGAGCACTGTTATCAGCATGAAATCATTGTACAGGTTGTGTTTGAATAAAAGACTGGACTGAACTAGTTTTAAGTCACATTGTGACGAAGCTAAAGGTCAAGAAAACAGGCCTTGATTTATTGCTTCTGACCAGTTCTGCCCCGTAATGACTTCTTGTCTGTCTCCAGCTTCTCATTACTCACCAGCTGACGTTACCTAAATTCAACAAATGCACAGGTTAACTCTAAAGAGATGTTCTCATCTATGTTGTCACTATATAAACAGCATAGTTCAGAATGATGCACTGGAAAATGCTCTAAGCTCATTTGATGCTTATTGAAAGTAAAATCAAAATATATGCCTTCATGAAACTAAAGCTACTGACTACATGAATTCAACCACGAAATGTTTTGAATGACATTTTTCTTTATAAATGTGTCTCCAGGGTGTCCCTGTCTAGATAACCTTTGATCCCGTTCCTTTGTAACCTCGAGGTCTTGGTGTCCTTAACAGGAATGTGCATCAGAAGGATCTCACATCCTTGTCCAAGAATTCTGGGAATGAAAGAAACAACAAGAGTATTTACACAGGGTTAAATAAATGGACTTCCCAGGAGGAATTCAAGGCCAGCAAGAAGCTTCAGGGGACAAACATGTTGTATGTGACATTAAAATACCTTTTCTAAAAATGTAAAAAGGATAAAAGTCATTTGTTTTAGTCTCAGGCTTTCCTGTCAAATGAAACAATTACAAGAATGTGGCTCTTTGATTTGATTGCAGCCGAGTCTTAAAAATTAATGCACATATTGTTGCAACATGTTATGCTAAAATCATTTTACTTCTTTTCATTCATAATACATACAAAACGCATACACAACAAGAAAGCCAAGGTTTGTCAAGAAGATAAATATTACAGCAGAACTTCAAGTTAAGTAATTTTACAACAACGTGGATCAATATTATCTGGAGACAAGGTGTATCTAAACTTAATTATTAACCGTCTGCATTCAGCTGTAAACTGATTCTGTGATTCATCACTAGAACATCTTGTCCACAGATAAAAAATAAATAAAATTTAAAAACAGCCTTTTCTAAAACAGAGTAATGTCTCCCTCTAGTGGCTAAAAGACGTACTGCTTTGTTGCGTTTGAGACGTTCAGTAAAATACGGCTATCTCACCACGCGTTTAAATAAACATTTTTAAGAAAAGGATAAAAAACTGACACTTACATACATATCATGTACATGCGGAAAGGTTTTGTACCACTGTGTCGCTGTTGTGTTCTCAATCCCCTGTTTGTTTGTAAATTCGGTTCAATAAAGTTTTTTTTTTTTGTTCAAACTCAGACGTCTCCAGCGTCTATTGCCATGGCAACGACGACCCGCTACAGTTGGCTAAGTTTGGAGCTAATAACAACCTTGTTCGTACGACGTCTCGGCACATAAATCTATTTAACAAACAAACTTTTGAGAAAGTGTAAATCAACATCATGGCAGGCGAGCAAAGCGCGTTTGAGAAGACGTTTTCTTTTAGTCCTTTACCCACGAAGAAGTTCTCCTTCCAGCAGGATGGAGACACCCTGGCGCTTTTCATGAAATGGTGATGTAAAAGACAATGTGTCAAACTTATTCAAACAAATTCAAACTTATGCCAAACAAATTATCATTTTGTTTAATTATAATTTTATTTTCAATTGTAAAAAATATATAATAATAATTTGTATGACTCATTTGTAAATGTCTATTGTTGTCCTTGTTAGCCACTGTTGTCATCACTCAAAGGTCTCTCTTGTAAATGAGTCCTCTTGGGACTAACCTGTTTAAATAAAGGTTGAATGAATGAATGGAACTTGAAAGCAAGCTCGTGAGCTGACATGTCTCCAACAGACTGTGTTTTTATTCAGGTCCATGCTGGGGAGGGTTTCAGCTCAGTCTTACAGCTTTGACAGCAACTTCTACCCTTACAGCTGTGAAAAGTTTGCTCTGGTAAGATGAACTCGGTCTGCTTGTACATTTAAAAATAAAGCTAAAAAATGTGTTCGTCTAGTGTTTTTGTGTGTGAATGTCCCTGATGCCAGTCTGCTTTTTCCTCCAGTGTTTCTTCAGGGACCCCGAAGTGGTTTCCAGTCTGAGAAACCCCGAGACTAAAATCTGGATACCTCTTGGTGTGTCTCCAAGATAGCCTTTTCTCACTACCAGAATTTAGATCTGATGAGCTGTTTTGTGTTATGTGCGTGTTTCAGACAGACCAGTGTTATCTGTCAGTGTGGAGCTCGTGCCGTGCACTCAGGTCTCCATGGAGCTGTTCGATCCCATCTACTCCTGCGGCATCCTGAGGCCTTCTGGGCATGTGGTTAAATGCTTTCATGATTTTAACCCAGACTATGATGAACTCAGACAGGCGAGCCTCTCTTCCTTTGAGCTATCAATCTGTTCTGATGCAGAGTCAGTTCAAGCCTTTGTTGCTTCTTCCAGATGTTACAGGACGAGGATTCTGAGCACTACTATGCAGTCGGGAAAGCGGGACGAGAAGAGTTTCTGTTTCGCCTCTTCAAGCACCTGTGCCTTGGAGGAGAGCTCTGTCAGTACGAGGACACCATTGACCCCTACATCAGCACCACAAAGAAAATATACAAAGACCTAATTAGGTAAGCACTCTGCGGGCGTACATGATAATCTATTTTAAACAGAAATATGTAAACATATATATCCAGTATGTGCACTCATGAGTCAGAAAATCTTTTACAGTGTGCAGAAGGATGCAGACACAAAGAGGATAAGTGTTGTTTCCACTGTGCTCAAAGTGTGTGCCCATGTAAGTGACCACTTCAATACCTCACCTACATGACATGGACAAGATAGTTCATGAAATCCACCAAAAAATAACTTTCCTTGAGCATCACTGAAGCTAAAACACTTTTCAGTTGAGAAAAAACATCTAATATCAGATAAATGAACACTGATCTCCACCACCCAGAAAGGAAGAAGAAGGTATGGATGGATGGATATTTATTGGCACCCATATCTAAACTAACCTGATGATATAAAATATAATAAAAACAAAGTACAACAGTATTATTTATATAAATCTTCAACTCTTCTTAAAACTTAAATTCACAAAAGGTTGGAACGCATTTGTTACGCATCACCACTGACAACCTGGTAATGTGGGCCGGTGTTGTGCCAAAAATTGATTGGCTGCCAAATGGCGGCCACGGGAGCGTGCACGGGAGAACTTTAACAAGAATTTAACTAGATTAACACTTAAAAACAGTTATTTGTTTGCTCAAAATTATGGTAAAGGTGTGTCTCAGTCTAACTTTTACTTAATAAATGCACTTTGACGGTGAAATCATCTGTATTTCAAAACCCAATCCGCAGAAGCGGCAGGCATGCACAGAGGGACGAGCCTCTGCATTTCTTCAAAATTTAACAAGATAACCAACTAAAAACAATTATTTGTTTGCTCGAAATTATATCAAAGGTGTGTCTCAGTCTAACGTTTGCTTAATAAATGCAGTTTAATGGTCATCCAGGACATGGTAAATTCAAAAAAGTTCAAGAAAAAAAACAAGAAAGTATAAAGTATAATAAATAAAGTCCCGTTGTTTTTGTCTTGAACTTTTTTTAAGTTGTCATTTTAGCCACGTTTACCTATTACATGATACAACAGCATGCCATACAGCTACTACTACTCTGCTGCCATCTAGTGGGTGAAAATGATTCTGATCAAAAAAAATTTTTCTGACAGAATGAATGAAAACGGTCATATCTCAGCCAAAAATTGGTTTATAAATATGGGAAAAAATCCATAAATATGTTTCTTCGGCCTATAAGTCGCAGGGCGTGTAAATTATGCAAAAAAACGTGACTTATAGGCCAAAAAATATGTTTTGTGCCTTATCAACCCCATAACATCATAAGCACTTTGTGTTTGAACTATTTGCCCACAACAATCTGGATGATACCTGCTTTTAATTCTGAATAAAAATGGGTTCATAATATTCAGAAAAGAATTCCAGTTTTGCCACGTTATATTACCAGATGTTCCACATTACAAGTGTGTTCTTTTGTCCTCTTCTTGTTTGCTACTTCTATCTAAGATCACAAAAAAGTTCAATCATGTACTCTGGACAGTTTCTTACTACTTAATACGACAGATCCTTGAATGAAGGACGAAACAGTTCTTACAAAAAAGAAACTGTCCAGATGACATGATTGAACTTTTTTGTAATTTATTCACCTGGATAACTGAGCCTACTGGTACTTACCTTTTTCCCCCTCCTGTCTAAGACTTACAGAACAGTTTAGTTGGCATTGCATTTGATTTCAAATACTTTGTTTCAACAATGTTCCGTTAATTTTATGATTTAAATGAGAAAAATGTTTCCTTTTGGCTCTTAATTACATTTGATAAAGTTTCCCAACTTTACAGAAACACATTTGTCACGCAGGAACCATTTCCACACATATTTTTGAACCCTCTGTGTTGTTTTATCACCTTTAGGACGAGTCTGGACGATGTTTCCCTGGGATTCGAGAGGAGGATCAGACATTTGCCTATTTGATCGTGGACCCTTTGAAACGACACGTGACCTTGTTCTTCCACTTCTACGGTGTGGGAAGCGTCACACTGTGATGATGAAACGCTGGAAAACATCCTGTTTGATGAAGCTCAAACCTGGAGCAGTAACTCACCCCATCCAATGCAAGCAACACCTCAAACAGAAGTCTGTTATTGTGTGGAGAGAGAACTATTTTAATGTGAGATAATACTGAAAATAAAAAAGGCTCTAAAAGCAGTGTACAGTCCAAAGAGCTTTATTGAAACAAATAAATTAATAAGTTAGTGATCTAACTTCATCCTCAGCAGAAACACATTTTTGTACCTTTTCAAAAGATCAAATATAGATTAGATTTGGAAAAAAAAAAAAAAAAAACAGCGGCACATTTTATTCAGCCAATTGCTTCTTCAATTGGCCTTGGAAGACTTCGTGTAGCTTTTCGCTTATTGCTTGATCGATTCGTGCTTCGTTTGAACAGCAGTTCCAACAACCTACAGTAAGAAAGCAGCTACAGAGCAATGAAGTTGGAATGTCAAACGGCAGCAAGTCAGTGAGAGGTGGACGGATGGTAGAACGTCACAAAGAGATAAGAGAGCGTGCAGATTGGTTCATGCATAGCATTCAGTCGTTAACTGTTTCTCCTAATCAGTTTCCTAAACTAGCGCCCCCTAGTGGCCTCAGAGGTAGTTGTGTGGAAGCCGTACTGATCTATGCAACATGCTTATGAAAGGACACATGCCTGCAAAGTTTCCTGCGATGCCTCCGGCTTCCACATCTGAAGGGTGATACGGTACTGTGTGAGGAGTGTGTTTATGTCCACGGGTACAGTGATATGCTGAACATACAGTAACACTTTCTGAAAATATCAACGTTGTACAGCAGCTGTAAGAGAGTCGATCTTTAGAACATTTCCCAAAGTGTTCAATTAAAGGTTTTGCAAAAGATAAAATAGAAGCATTTTCATGTTTTTCTATGAAATACTTCTCTTCCGAGTGTGAATGTGATGGAGATAGAAAGCCGCACCACTTCATGTACACGAGGGCAAAGAAGGCACAGATTATTTCTTTCGTGTTCTTAAAATTTTACACAACAAAATCCTTATGTTGCTGTTTTTTTCTCCTTAAAACTGTGGCCACCACGACACAACATGCAGTACAGTGATGTCACATTAATTATGAAGCTCTACATTCTAGGTAGCGTTGAAGAAACAGCTCTGTTCGTTCTACTGATGCCTCTGATAAGCAGACATCTTTGCTATAATTCATCGCAGAGAATTAAGCTACCAAACGTTTCCCAATGAAATGACTGCAAAACGTGTACAAAGCGGAAAGCTCGGAATGACATTTTACTCCTGATGGCAGCAAGAACTGCCAGACTGAGTGAGGAAGTGCATTCACGGGTTCAAAGGCTCCCTTCAAATGGGAAAGTGGAGCACCTGTCGGCTGACGTGACTGAGGAAGGAAGAACTCGACTGATTACTTAAAAATCAGATGCAACTGAATTATATGTTAAAATGTGTTTTACATTCACTTTATCAACCAAAATCATGAACAAACCCAACTTTTGTCTTGACAGGGCGCACAAGATCAAGTGCATGAAAACAAGTACAGTAAAGAAATCGCCCAAATGACAAAACTAAATTAAGCACAAACAAATTGTTGAGTTTTATCAAGTGCCAAAGTACTTAAGTACAAGAATTGCTTTCATTCTTCATGTGTGCATTTGAATACCCTCGTTTTTTTTGTTGTTTTTTTGTTGAGCAAACATCCCCGAGAGGTTAAAGTCAGTAACACTTTTAGGTACGCTCTTTGAAGTGTCTCGGTGACACGTGCGTCGATGAGGATAATTGTCCTTCCTCACGCATTGTTCGTTTTCAAATTGCACCAAACTGGCTGTAAAGTTTCATGAAAGTGCACGTGGCATCCGACAAAAGGAGGGGTTGCGAAGTATTACAGACATCCTGAATCAGCTGATGTAGTAAACCTGACCTGAGGATAGATATTAAGTGAAGAGAAGCAGTGCAGAAAAGTGTCACAGCTGAGCACTTTAGCTCAGAGGTTAAGGAGTGATGAGTTTGAAGGCTGCAAGACAAGGAAGTTTAAAGGTTTTGTCAAAAATGTACATTCTGGCTTCCAAATGCTCAGTTTGCACAGTAGCCTTGGAAATCCTGCAAAACACAGACTTAGGATTTGTGAAAGAGAGCTGTTGTTCTATTAATCCTAATCAATTAGGAACATTCCATACTTGGATGCCAACTTAACTGGAAACACAGTTTTTTCTTTGTTTTGTTTTGGGGGGTTTTTTGGTTGTTTTTTTGCTGGTGGGCTTGTTGGAGACCACAAGTCTTGACAAGGGAATATAAATCATAGCTGTAATTTACAGACCAACACGAGTCACTATTGTACCGTATTTTCCGGCGTATAAGTCGCATCAGTAAAAAAATGCATCATGAAGAGGAAAAAGACATATATATTATGCGTCACCGCTGACCCGTTTAGTTTATTATGCATTTATTTAATGGTCAAAACTGCTTCATTTTGCCTGGGTGGTGTGGCACCATCCATCCACCCATCCATCATGACTGAAGCTGCAGGCTCTCCAGCATTCCTCCGCCTGCACCAGCTGAGTGAAGCAAGCGCACACGGGAGGACTCGCTGTTGCAGTTCTTAGAAATTTCAAGCGTCAGTGAAAAGTTGCATTATGAATATGGATAAAAAACATATACAAGTCACTTTGGCGTAGGCCTGTCACGATAACAAATTTTTCTGGGCGATTAATTGTCTCAGAAATTATTGCGATAAACGATAATATTGTTTGAAATTTAACAATAATTAATTGTCAAATTTTAGAAATGTTGATTTGTTTTGGGTGTAGTACCTTTTTTGACCACCTGATGGCAGTACAAGACAGTTTGAAACAAAGGATGGATAGATGAGCAGCATGTCTATTTAAGAAACATGGGAGGGAGGGCCCTTGACGTGACATGGGCTGACATGGTGACGTTTGGTGATTTTAGATCGTTAGCATAGCATTTTTCACACAAAGCTTTTAATTAAAAATCAGTAAACAAGTTCTCAGCTTCTTTTTGCAGAGAAAAACAACTTTTTATATGAAGGAACGGGTTTCAACCGTGAATTTTGGAGCTCCACAAGACGGAGGTTTATTCCCGAGGTCGGCCTGTTAGCTTAGCTCGTAGCTTATCTTCTCAACTTAGCTGCTTTTAACAATCCAAAAATGCGATTTTGGATGGTTAGAACAGATTTTAAAGAGAAAAGAGAAAGGGAGGGGTCAGTGAAGAGCATCGGAGTTGAGCTTTTTGTCATCCAGTGTCTTCAGAAAGAGAGAGACAAGAAGAAACGATACAGCCGGTAAATGAAAATTATGTTGATAATTTTCATTCATCATGCAATTAATTGATTTATTGTTTATCGCGACAGGCCTGCTTCGGCGTATAAGTCGCAGGACTGACAAATCTATGCACAAAACTGCGACTTATATGACGGAAAATACGGTAGTTGTTTTTTGGGGGCAAATAAAGTAGAATTTAACTTCCCTTGTTTGAGTGCGTTGTGTTGGCTGCCAAACCAGGACCAAGGGAGCACATTCTTTAGGTGGCGATGGCTTCATCAGTGCTTCTCGTTTTGTGTTCGTCAAGGCATTGAGAACTGTGTTGCCATATCAAAATATCACCTGTAAAGTACTGAACAAATGACTGGTATATTGGCTTTAGACAAACAAATCTATGTTGATTCAAACAGCCAAACAAAAGGATGACGTTGAAGAAAAAAGATGCGATTCCTTGACGTTTGCAGGTTTGAAAGTAGTATATACAGCATGATGTTATTAGCTGCGATGGGTTCAGTAGTCAAGTTTTTGTTCATCACTTTCTCCGTTCTCATCCAGTGAGTTGAGAGGCGTGTGCGGTGAGCAGCTTTGGCTGAGGCTCCTCGTCGTGTGGAGCCCTCTGGCAACCGTTATCTTACCAGCTCTGGAAACATTCGCTCCAGGTAAAGGGTCGAGGATGCAGATCAGAAAAGGAGGGAGGAGCAATCAGAGAAGGTAGGTGTAAAATAAAGGGAGCGCAGTTCTGTTTGGCTGCTCGGAGAGAGGGCTCAGCCTAAAGGAGGACATCCTGTCAAAGGTTTCTATCAGTCAGCTCATTGTCACTCCAAGTTATCGCCCTCAAACCGGGAGATGTTCAGTGTGTTAGCAGAGGGGAAGAGGTCTTTGTGGTCCGTGGGGCTGTTGTAGTCTGACGTCAGGTCGGGGTCCAGGAGGGAGGACAGGGTGGCGTGTGATGAGCCTTTCTTTAAGCACTGGGAGTAGAAGTTGAGCATGAGGTCCAGCTTGCTTTCTATGGACTGCACCTAAATGAACACAAACACTGGACTGTGTGAGATCGTTAGCCAAAAGTAGCCCCAGTAATCCCAAATCAAACTCGCTCTCTTTACCTGTTTCTCCACTTTAACTACACGTCCCATCATGCTTAGCTCATCCAGCGGGTCCAGTTCTGGCGGTGTCTTTTCTCCCTTTTCAGAACGCGCCTTTTTATCAGGCTGAACGGCTCCTCGCCCAATTATCTGGTCCACCCTTTTTACACAAACAGAACAACGTTCAGTGAATATGATGAAAAAATACAGCGTAGTTTGGTATACTCAGTCAAATACTGATCTGAGGCCTAACTATCCTGCCCTGTTGACCAATCAGCTGGTTAGTTCTTTGAAAGAGGGGCCTAAAGAAATGTAAGGTGAAAAACATTAGAAGTGTTGTTACACAGACAAACAAAATAAAGAAAAGTGTAAATACAATCTTCTCTAAAACCCCAAAATTTGGATTTGAAAGCAAGTATTTTTATTAGGGATGCACAATATTATTGGCATGGTATCATATCGGCCGATATTAGCGTTAAAGTTAAATATCGGACATGGGCCATTCCATCAAAATAATTCACTGATATAAAAGACACTGTTTTTGTATGACAACCCAGTAACACGGATGCCTGTAGCAGCAGCACAACGTGATTGACGTCACACGCGTCTACCTGATCTGATCACGGCGGAGGAAAATTCAAAATGTCGGTGTGGAAGTTTTTTTTTGTTGGTGAGTATGTCAGATTCCAAAGACGTTTGGACTACGTTGAGCCTCGCTACATGGTCCCCAGTCAGAGATATTTTTCCGACGTAGCCTTACCTGAGTTACAAGCCGTCATTTCCGACATCATTGAGAAGCTAATAGCCCATAGACCTTGGATGAGTTTTACCACAGACATTTTGACGTCGTGTTAGCCCCGTCAGCATGATTAGTCTTACAGTATAATGGATAGACAAAAACTTTGAACTTAAAAAGACGTCCTTCATGCACAGGAGTGCAGAGGATCCCACACTGCAGCGAGGAACCTGGAACAAGCCTCCACAGGTGAGACAGCATCACAGGTGACTAATGCTAATAAATAACATTTAACACTTTTCATTTAATATAAGTTAAAGCGCTATGCATATCATATGGCTGTTACTGAATATATGTCACCAGCTCCTACAGCTGTGACACAATTTTTGTAGCAAATAAGCCTAAATAAGAGGGTTATGTTCTGACAAAGGAATGTATATAAAATATTGGTATTGGTTATCGGCCAAATAAGTTTTAACGTATCGGCATATCAGATATCAGCCCAAAATCCAATATCGTGCATCCGTATTTTTTATGAAACCAACCTCACAATTCATCAGATAAAAGTTTAGCCTTTTTAACACAGCAAACCCCTTAAAAAGCAGTTAAAAGTGAACAGAGATTTGATGATTTTTAGATGTGGAATGATACAAAAGTTTCATAAAGAGAAAGTACTTTCTTTAGATGGATGAGGCCAAAGTTAGAGATGTTAAGCCATGCTACACAGCACCATTGTTGGTGAAAGACAGTGGTGGAGGGCTGATGATTTGGGCTTGTTTTACAGTCACAGGACCCGGGCATCTTGCAGTCACTGAGCTCACCATGAGTTCTTCTGTACACTCAAGTATTTAAGGGTCAAACGTGACGAAGAAGCAGAAAACAAACCAAGGAATTGTCTTGGTCTGGTCTAGACCTCAACCCAGCTGAAAGCTCAGTAAGTTAATGGAATGTTAGAACAGTTATCAATAGTTAGGGCAGATAAAATAATGGAAAAGGTAATTACTTGAAGTTATTCCTCCTAAAGGTTGCTAAACACAATAATAAATAAAGTGATGCACTCAACTTGTCCTACACTGCTTCATCAATTTGATATCATTTTACAAATCACATACAAATGCTGCAATATTTCACAGACAATGTTCATCTAAGGTTGTTCTTATGGTCTTTAGACCTGAGAAGGTCAGGTGGTTTGGTATAGTATTCTGATGTATAAAATAATATAAATAATATGAGTCACTTTTTTAACAGACTGCTTCTTTCAAACTAAGACTTTCACCTTTCCACAGTTCAGATAAAGCATCAAACTGGTGCGGGGAACCCACCTCATCTGTAAGCTCTTGATGCGGCCCAGCATATCCAGGTGTCCTGCTGAATACTGCTCGATGACATCCTTCACGTCATACGGACGCAGCGTTTCTTTGAACTTCCTCTTGGCCACGAGGAACTTCAGGATTCTACAAACACAACACACTCACGGTTATCACTCGTGAAAAAGGCCTGAACGCGCACGCCGACGCATATGGAAGCCCCGTAAACCTTTGGAAAAAATGCAGGAGAAGGAAGATATCAAACACTTCAGCCCACCGTGTGAATAACAAGATTAATTAAAGCCAGCGTGACCTTATCATTCACAAACAGGCCCATAAAGGAAGCATTCAGAAGCCTACTAAACCATGCGGATATATTGGGAGGATGAGAGCGTCTCTCAGAGACATTTTATTATCAGTATTTGCTGTTTCAGCAATTAGCACATTTCCGCAGATACGAGAACGCACACCTCTATTCTCCCCCCGTTTCTGCTCTTTTGTCATTGTGACAGCCACGTTGGACCACAGCTGCTCCTGCTCCCCAGAGCACATAGCTCATAATCACCACCCACACCCCAGTGTGGGGGAGTCACACTGAGGACTGTTAACCCAACACCACCATACCAGGTGAACAAATCCCTGACAACATCTTGCGCCAGAGAGGCTGTAGAGTCGCGTCACGCTGAAGGGAGTGAAGGATGTGGAAGTGATAAGAAGAAAGTAGAGGAAGGATGTAGCTGATACTTCAGCTCCTTCTTCCCCGAACCAGAGAAGCACGACACTACAATTTGACACAGAATATAAATTCACTCAGTCTATTTCTCTTTGAAATGACCAGAGAGTTCAAGATGCTCACAGAAAGTCCTTTGGGACATAAGAAACAGAAAAAAATTCATTAATCCATTATTTGCTTGTTGTTTTTTGTGGTTTCTGTTTGGTGAACCAGAAATTTGTGAATGCGGTCTCTGGGCAGAATCTTCTCTACCTAGAGTTGTCTGTCATTTCCAGAAAGCTTAGATTATTAAAACAAATAAGAGCATCATTTCAGACAGACATTTAAATCAATAAATCAGGTTTGGAGTTGTAGCCAATGCGTAATTTTGTTTGTATTTTCTCGCCGCTCTTAGGCTAGCAGGCACAGCAGCTGATTTACGTAGGAGGCATAGCTAAGTGCTGATTTGTGGATATGATATAGTCGCAGAACTCTCATCGGTGCCCTTTTTAACACAAAGAATGACTATGGTTCAAAAAGCATCTCCAGGACCTGAACACACTGGATTTTGTAACCGTTTGCGAAGCAGTCGGTAACGATGTGCTCGGCTCAATGGAGTGGAACGAGGACTTTAGCTGTTTACTAAAAACTGGTGAGTGAAACCAATTTATTTATTTATTATTGGCTAATTATAGTGCTGAGGTTTTACTATGGTGTTGTAGCCTATCTTATTGGACTTGCTTGTTCTTATTTTGTTACCATTCGCACACTTTTTGCATGATTTGCTGAAAGTTTTATCTTGAATTATTTGCATTTGCCGCTATTCACACATTTTGGCTTAGTCTGAGAGATTATAACTGATCTTTTTGGGTGTATAAACAGTGTTCAATTTGTAAACCAAAAGATGACGGAACACAAATAACGTGTGTATGTGTGTGTGTGTGGGTGGGGGGTGTCTGGGGATCCTCCCCATAGAAATTTTTTAATAAAGTAGATGCCATTTCCTGCATTCTTGTGTATTTAAACGGGTTGTTAAACATCTACTTTTACCTACATTTGTAAACACTTGATTCAATAACTATTTTAAAGAACAACAAGATGTAGCCTGACCAACAGCTCTCCTTGTGTGAATAGAGCACGTTACGCTTCTTTCAAGCATCCTCGCACTTGCTCCAGTAATATCTCCAGCGCCACTGCCTTCATGTGATTCACTTCTCAGTTGTTTAGTTGCACAATGGGAAGACTGTTTTTAATTAAAGTAAATTGGACTGTCTTTTCAACATTTTCAGTGCTGTTATTATGACAATGTGGCGCCTTAATAACGTTGTCATGTTACATACATGACTTATGTAACATGATTACCCATCAAACAATTCTCTTGTATTTTTAATAAATAATCAAAGTTTTATTAATGACCCACTTAAATTGTAAAACTGATTTACAGATTAGTTGTGCTGTTTAATTATATTTTTGTGTTTTTAACAAAATTGCCCATGACTTTGAACTTTTAGGGATGGAGATGGTTTTAAGGGTAGAAGCAGAAATGCTTACTTGAAGGGGCAGCTCTTATGTGATATTAGGAAGTTCGTAAGTGGCTGTTATGTTTAAAATTAGTGTTTATGTAATTATTTTCAGATTACATCTCCAATATAGATTTTATTTGTTCAAGGCAATCATATTTGTTCATAACTTTATTATTAGTAAGCCTGAGAGTTACTGGATCCAAGCAAGCAGTTACCGGAATGCACCCAGTCAAAATAAGAGATCTCCCGGATCCTGTTCCAGCAGGATCTGGCTCAAATTAAGCCCTGAGTATAAATAAAGACCTCAGTAGGATGTATACTGTATGGTTGTACTGCCAGTTAAGTACATACAGTATCCACTTGTGAATGTTGCTTTAGATAGAGCCCAAAAAGAGTCTTCACAACTGTTTTGTTTACGGGGCTGAGAAAGGTAACAAAGGCCCAGTTGGGATCGTTAAGCTCTGTCTGTACGAGTGTTGTCAGAAGATTTAGAAAATGGGCAAAGTAGAGGAAAAAAAAGTCATCTATTTTAAAAAGTGGGTGATGTGACAACTTATGAGAAGGGTTCTTTTCTGAAACAACCATCCTAACCTTTGCAGAACGTGCATTAAAAGAACACTCGTTAGAGGACGAGGTGCAGGTGAAGGAGGAGAGCACTGAGAGGAGGAGGTCCACAGCTGGTGCTATAGCAGCCATCAGCGCACTTCTCCTCTTCCTCACGCAGCACTCTGCTTCTTGATGACTTCTGCATTTGGAGTATTTTTGCAAGCAATATTTTCTTAATTTGCAGGTGGGTGCAGATTTTTTCTTGCCAGGGTGGGTCTCAGGTGTGGGTTAAGGAAAAGGTTGAAAGGGAGTGAATCCTCCGAGGGTTTCTTCAAAATGCTGACTCTCCCCTTCCTGGTCACTAAAATGGCTGTAATAACACAGAGTCAGGTTTCAGCATCCCCCACCTCTTTCTAGACAATTTCCAGTCACTGTGCAGTACAGTTGGCATGGCTAACTAAAAGAGATCATAGCTTCCCAGCGTGAGGAAGTTGAGATGTAAAAAACCCAGTGATGGCTGGAGGGAGAGGAAATGTCAGCTGTGCCCCCAAAATGCTTGCAAAGCCAATGCAAACATTTTTGCAATTCAGCAAAGGTGGATCCCAGATAGTCTCCAATGGCAGGTTTTATCTGGGAATTAAAAATGACTATACTGCTGACATGAAGCCAAGGTGGGCCAAGAAGGATGGGCCACTGCTGGGACGTGTCTGATTCCTTTTAGATTTAACTCTGTGCCTGCTAAGTGGAAAAACTCCAACCCACAGGCCAAAGTGTAGAATAGATGGATGTAAAACACAAAATTAAAAGGGGATTAAAATATTGCAGCTACAAAAACATGGAGAATACTCATAATCCAATACATAACTGGAACACATGTCCAAATAATTTATTTAACAAAGTAAGCACTTCATCAAAGACTGCAAGCTTGCACAAACTGTGCACATGGAACAGTGCAGTGAACGCAAGCGTTGCTTTATTCTCATCATCTTCTCTTGCTGCTTCCGTACGTAAACACAACACCATCCACATTTACTCAGGCATCGCAGACACTGATAAACCACATGCGTCCAAAGTGAAGTGTCAGCACTAAAGCCTTCCTGCACTTCCCTGACATCGATCATGAGCCGTGCTGAAATGCTGCACACACGTGTGTGTGTTAACACACTGAAAACACCTGCTGTTTACACACCTGCACTATCTATAGGAACTCCCTTCCTTCCTATTGTGTGCAGCGCAGAGCAGCTGGGGTCAGAGCTATCTGCTGAGTCAAGCGCAAACCTGAGAAGACAATATAACGTCCTGTTAGTGGCACCAAACTGTCGCACAAAAATATATCATGGCACATCCCTGCAATGGTAAACATGTGCAGCATGTCTGCACATTTATTATAAATGTATTTGGTCAAGTCATCAAAATTACAATGTAAATAAAGTTAATGTTAAATATTAGATTCCTCTGGGACTCCTGGTTGTCCTCAAATCATTTCAAACTATTTTTCAGGACAACGTTAATTTCTAATGCGTATGCAGGACAGCTTCTTCCAAGACCATCATGTATACTGAACGCCGCAGACAGCGTCACGCTGCCTTGAGAAATGCTGTGAGCTTTGAGTGCTGACGTGAAACAGAGACATTATAAACTGCTTTCATCAAACCCCTCAGGGGGCCGGCCCAGCACCAACACCAGATGTTTGCTAGCAAATGTATTTTTTTCTGCCACCATCAGTGAAAAACTCCAGTTATTCAGTGTGTGTATATAAGTGGCTGCATGTTGGGTGTGTAGCTGAGGGTAGAGTGTTTTGAGTTGCTTAGATTTTTCTACATAGACCTAAATCACTGAACGTTATTAAAGAATATGAAGTTCCTTTCAGGTGATCCCTTCTTCAGGGGTTGTCACGGCGAACGAACTCGCATGAAAGATTTGGTCATCGTTTTACGCCTTCCTGACGCAATCTGGGCTCGAATCCGCAACCCCAGGATTACAAGACCATGGCACTGACCACCAAGCTACCACAGCCCCTATTAAAGAATAAAATGAGTATTATTTTTTATTGAGAAAAAATATATATATTACACATTTCAGTACTGAGTGAAAGTATAATTCTGCTAAGTTTGTAGTCATGAAAATCAAAATCACATATTTTAAAATTAAAAAAACGTTGTCATAAAACTATTTTGTTATAATTGTTGGGTAGAAATAAATAAATAAACAAAAGAGCCAAGCACTGGTACATATGGGGAGACCGTAGGCTAACCAGGAACCCTGAGAAAATGAAATCACACGGACAGACTGAGGTACAACTAGAAATGATGTAATTGAGGATAAACCTGAGATGTGAATGAGAAAGTTTATATATAAAGGGCAGGGAAACGCAAAGTAAAAAGCAAAGTCAGCAAAACCACTTGACAGGAAAGCTGAACAAAGAACAGACTATCAAAGTAAAACAGGAAGTAAGAACTGCAAAACTGGCTTTGTTACTCGAAAATGTTACAACTCGAAGTAAAACATCCATCCGAACACCAAAAACAAAACCAGTCTTAACCAGAGAAAAGGGCAAAAAAGTCGAAAATAAAAGAACTTGACTTTGATCAAACTAAAAGGACATCAAGATTAATTCTATAAAAGCAACATGTTTAAAACTAAAACCTGAACAGAAAACCAATCAAGTAAAAATAAATAAAATCGATGAGCTGAAGCTGTTACAAAGAAATATACTGAAAGTCAGCAGTTACTGCTGCTTGTGAATAAATCTGAGAAAAATTATACAGTTCACCAACATTCAAGCACCACTACTACACATGTGCACAGAAAATAATGTAAAATATTTATGCATCTAACTCAGTGGTTCTCAAACACTGGTCCCTGGACCCCCGGGGGTCCACAAGCTGCTGCTTGAAGGTCCGCAAAAAATATATAATAATTGTTTTACAAGCACATAAATGTTTAAGAACCAATTAAAATACAACAAAATGTAGGAAATCACATCTGCTTTATAAAAAATAAAATAAATTCTGGGGGATGACACCCCCCAGCCTGCACGCTATTTGCATTCCGGCATCGATCATTTTACAGATTAAGTCCTGTTACTTGGTACGACCACTGCTCTTATGATTCTGTTCAGTTTTATGTAAATAATTTACTGTCATAATTTGAAGAAGTGGCGATACGTTTATTACTGTATGTTCATTAAGTGAAAAGGTAAAGTTTTAAAGAGGTTTTAAATACTGTTAATGTTCTCATAACTGTAATTTTTGGAAATTGAAATGAAAAATTGTGTTAATTAAGAGTCTTGAATGAAAACTACTCCATGTTTAAAAGTATAAACATTGTATTAACACTGTTAAAGAACAGGTCTCAAGTATTTATGTTACACAAATTTTTCCATTGCATTAAAGAGACAAATTGAAGAAAATTAGTTAATAAACATGAGGGTTATGAGGGGTCCCCGAACCCAAAAAGAATGAGAACCCCTGGTTTAGACTGATAATATTGCATTATTACAAAAGGTTGTGCATTTTCATCCATCCATCCATTTTCTTTTACCCGCTTATTCCATTTTGGGTCACAGGGGTCGCTGGTGCCCATGTCCAGCAATCACTGTGCGAGGGGCGGGGTACACCCTGGACAGGTCGCAAGTCCATCACAGGGCCACATAGAGACAAACGAGACAAACAACCATTCACTGTCTCACTCACACCTAGGGACAATTTAGAGTTACCAATCAGCCTAACATGCATGTTTTTTGGTCTGTGGGAGGAAACCGGAGCACCCGGAGAAAACCCACGCATGCACGGAGAGAACATGCAAACTCCACCCAGAAAGGCCCCTGGACCGGGGTTTGAACCAAGGACCTGCTCGCTGAGAGGCAGCAGCTCTACCAGTTGTGTCACCGTGCTGCCGGTTGTGCATTTTACACAACATATTTTTATTGGTTTTTAAAGTAATGCCTCAAAAAATGTTTTGTGGTATATCTATTAAAAAGGCACATTTTGTAAGGACGTCCTACAGGGTCACAGTATCCGAGCGCAACATCAGTTTGTACAGGAGTGTTTTGTTACAGGAAGAGATAACAGCATATCAGAATAACTCCTAATCACATTTTATTACAGTTGTCCTTGTCACAACTGAACAAAACCCTTGTCTTTGTTCAGTCACACTGCGATCTCTCATACTGTCCGTACCTGTGCGTGCACATCTAGTTGTTCTATCATGCCATCTCATGCATGACCACGCCAGTCGGGCAGACTTGCAGAGCCGACAAGGTCACATGAGAACTTACCGTGCCGGGTGGGGGGGGGGGCGGGTCTCAGTTACTTCTCAGTGGGCATTTCTACTCAGTCAGCTGAATCTGAATGAAATGATTGTACAACCAGTTTGCCTTTCAGTGCACCATGAGAAGCACCTCCAGTCTGAACACGCACAAGTGTCTTTAATCTGTCCATGACAAAGAGAACAGCACGTCCAGCTGGAGTGACGATCACTTGAAGCGTACACTTGACAAGCAAAAACCTTGTTGCTTCCATAAACTTAAGTACGGCCGTGTCCACACGGAAACCAGTTTTGTGACAAAGTAAATGTTTTGTATGTATGCACAGACATACTGTATATTTGGTTGTTTAGGCAGCCTAAACACAACCTTGGGAGAACTATAATATCATAGACCTGCCTCTAATCTTACACTGAGTGACCGAAGCATAAATACAGTAAAAACAATTACAGATTACAAGTTCATGTTTAAACTATAGATGCTAATTATTTCAGCTGTTTATTGTATTAATTCAATGAGCAGACAAGGCTGACTAACAATAGCATTGCCTTGAATAGCCCAGAGTTAAACCTCTTATTGTTACACCAAATAAACTAAGGTCAAAAAGGTGTTTTCATTACTTTATTGAACATTTTATATTAACAATATAAAAAAAAAGAAAAAATACAATACAGTAGTCCCTCGCTACTTCACGGTTTGTTTTTCATTTCCTATAGCGGTTTTTCAAAGTAAGATTGGACATGACATACAATTGGCTGATTGATGGATGAGCTACACGATCGGCATTACATTTTTATTTATAATAAATTATTTTAAAATATTTTGCACCTGTGTGCAGCCCAGAGCTGCAGATAAAGTTTCTTCTTGCAGCGTGTCATATCTCTGCTCTGCAGCTGAGAAGTGGGCGTGGCCAAGAGCACTGGCAGAGTGCAGCAGGAGGCAGAGAGCACAGATCATGACTTGCTGTGCTCTTTTAGAGCGTTCAGAGTTTAGAAAACATTGTTTAGAATATTGCAAGAGTGTGGGAAGGGTTTAAAGCAAATTTATATATAAATACTAAAATAAACTTCTACTAACTACTTTTACTATTATCCCTACTACATGGTTTTTCACTTATCACGGGGCTTCAGGGTACAGATCCCCTGCGATAAACGAGGGACTACTGTATACATAAACCACTAATTTAAAAAATGTGGGAAATGGGAATAGTTTTATAGGCCTGAAAAATATTTTAACCTGATGTTCTCTGACCATTGTGAGAAAAACCCTTTCCTCCAGTCGTCCCTCACTGGATACTGGGTCTGAAAAGTGTACAAGATGTCTGCGTATTTAGACTGACTCACCTCCCAGTTAACATTATCCTGCACTTGTGTGTTCTTGTAGCTTTATTAGACAAAGTAGAAGTTTCACTTCATTATAAGTTCAATAACAGAACTCAGTTTTTGCAGTTGCATTTTACATCCCTATCAGTTTGATGTTGTTGTGTTTACAGCTCGGACCATAGACTGTGCATAGAAATAATATTTCCTGTTTCTGGTGTATTTTTGTGGCAGTATTATGGCGCCACATACAAGCCTGGCATCAATACTATCGTGTTTGGATCGTGTTGTGAGGATGACCACCTTTCTCGAAATGGTAATGTGTTGACAAAGATATTTTGACAAACTAGAATGTTCCCGTGTGGACAAGGCATACGTCGTCACTAAAACTTCAATAAGATGCTATAGATGTCGTGACACCTCTTCTAGAGGCTTTTTTGTTTGTGAGACCAGGGGAAACACCAAGCAGGTTCTTGAAGTGTCTAATAAAGTGAATATGGATGTTATATATTTGCATCCTGTTGATGGAAGGACTCACCTGACAGCTCGTATCAGAGTCTTCACTGCTGGAATCACGTCCTCCATGGCCACGTCACAGTATGGTTTGTCTTCCACACTGTCTTCCCCAACTCCCTCCACTGAACACAAGGAGAAAATTAAAATAAAAGACAAAAGAAGAAAATATTTTCTTCTAAAGAGTGTAAATCAAAACTGTTCTGTTCCATTTACCATCTGCAGGTGGGCGTGGCTTGAGGCGAAGGGAGGTGCGGAAACGTGTGCGGTCGTTGAAGCTCCAGCTCTTCTGGACCTTTCCGGGACTGGTGGCTTCTGGGACGTTTTCCTGACTGGGAGATCGCCGTACACCGGAGCTGGGGGGAAGTGGTGACGCCTTGTTCCGGATGGTTTGGGATGAACGGGAATTGTTCATCCTGATCCGATCCCTGAAGCCCAGCTTGCTGCTGACAGTAAAGCTAAATTAATGCAACACATTCAGACACACTGATGTTTCTGGATGATGACATGCATCAAACTTTCTCATCGGTTGTATTGTCCACACAACATCTTTGAATGAAACTATGCTGTATTATTCTGGGGCTTGAGGAAATCAGCAGATTAGCAGCCTGAACTTGTTAGAAAGGAGGAGATTAGTGTTGGAAGGGTAAGAAAATTAAAGGTTTAATACCAGCCGTCACATAAACAGGAACACAAACAAGCTTTAAACTTAGCTGCAGTGAAGAAAAAACATTATTTTTGAACAAGCTGAGCAAATGCACTATTAAACACTGCTAAAAAACTGATTCTGCCCTGAGGAATTGCCTATTATGCCTATCTTAGCAACTGAATCAGCAAAATCAGCCTGAAACCTGATTCATAACGTGCAGCAGTGCAGAAATTGCCCACCTAACATCACAAAAACCACCTTAATACCTTCAGCACACTTCCAGGCACTGAAATGTTAGCTTCAGACAGAAGCCATACCAAAGCTGTCTCATTAAGTATTCACTCACAACAGTCCAAGTCAAGCAGATATGTGAGATTTATATAGAAAAAGAAGCCATTTGTCAGCCACTCTCCACATGGGATTGACTTTTAATGCTGCTGTTATAGCATGCGCTTGTGGACGACTCCCACTCAGCCACTTACAGATATACTGTCACGGATTCACAGGCAGCGCAACTGTCATGCACCGCAGAGCAATTCCAGCCGTCGTTCCCTCCCCCATTTTTTCTGACGATTATAATCCATGTTTTGCGTGTGATACACATAAGCCAGCCATTTAAATTAAAATTTAAATAGTCTGAGAATGTTGGTGGAAAGTGCATTTCATGCATGCCATTTGAACATCCGTGAGTAAACTGAAGGCAATGGGAAAAATAAAGTGAAGGACCTTTGCATGCTTCTGGGAAAAGAAGGAAATGGTCTGGATGCATTCAGGGCCGTAAACTTTACAGTCTTTGCAAAACATTGAGGGAGGATTGCATGCAAAGGGAAGCATTAAATAACCCTGTAAAATACAACACAGGCATGTTGATTTGGTACAGAGTTTTAAAAAAAAAAACATGCAAACTTCTGAACCTTTTCTCCAAGAAGACACAATAAAGGAACAAACAATAAAACTGAAAATAAGAAGTGTAAGATCTGAAAGGTAAGGTCATTGCTTGGATTATTTTTCCCAAGTCATCAAAGAATTTTGATGAGAGGAAAATATGTGTATGTAGCTTGTCATGGTCATAAACCAAGTAGGACTTAAGTCATGAAGTCAGCAAATTGTTCAATCTGAACTTCAAGCCTGATCAGCAAAAATCAGCCCTATGTTAAAGCAGCACTTCAGATCTTTGGGAGTTAGGTTCAGGGAAAATGTTAGGAACGATTAACATCTCACCTGTTGTATATATGAACAACCTCAGTTTGAACAAATGTAGAATTATTCTGACCGGACTGACAAACTAACGGCTAGTCCAAACAGTGGACTGCTGACACCTTAAAACAACTCCAATCACAAAACCTCTGAACAATTCCATAGCAGTTCATGCAAACACGTTTAAAAAAAATCAATGTTCATGCTCAATAATCCAGATTAAAAATCCAACAATGTTCAGTCAGGTCATCTGGACAGTCTCTTTATTTGTTGAGACATTTCGTCCTTCATCCAAAGGACTTCCTCAGTCCGAGGAGCCACAACAAACAGTCCCACAAGCAGCACGCTCCCATTGTAGACTAACAGTTTACTGGTGATGAGATGGTTTCTAAGGCCCGCCCTCTCCCCCGTCAACTCCTCTGAGGCAGCCATAGTCACATTATTATATTGAGCATGAACTTTGATGTTTTGAACCACTTTGGCTATGGCTGTCTCAGAGGAGTCGACTGGGGAGAGGGCAGGCCCCAGAAACCATATTATCAACAGCAAACTGGTTGGTCCACTATGGGAGTGTGTTGCTTGTGGGACTGAGTTTGTTGTGGCTCCTCGAACTGATGAAGTCCTTTGGATGATGGACAAAACGTCTCAACAACTAAAGAAACCGTCCAGATGACCTGACTGAACTTTATTGGACTTAAAAACTTTCATTTGCCGTTAGTTTTGCGTGACACAGTTATTCATGTAGAATTTGTTTTTTTGTTTTTTTGCAAGTGCAAATAGCTGTAGAGGCTAGCTCTAGCAGCTAGCTGTAGCACTTTCAGTGCAGCCAGGCCTACTTCCAGCAGGAGTAAAAGTATATAAATTAGGGTTTGCATGAACTTTTGTATATGATTATTTGTTTTAGATTGGAAATGTTTTAAAATGGAAGCATCCCACTGTGGTTGTACGGCTCAGAATAGCAATTAGCTCATCAGCCTAATCAGAACTAGTATTTTTCTACAAACTGGGGTCATTTAAAGAGCTATCTAAAACAAGTAAGATATTAATTCTTCATGAACATTCTTTGGAACCTGCTTCAAAAGGTTTGAACTATCTTTTGAGGCAATTAGGAAAAGAGATCTGAAAAAAAAATACGTATTTAAAAAGTTCACAACAATTTGTGCACCAAAATGCAGTGCTTCTTTAAAACTTTCATTTGATTGCAACAACCTGTTGTTGCAAATGCTACAATGTTTTAGATAAAGTTCATATTCTTCAAGTAGTTTAATGCTTTATCTGTGGAATAACATTTAGAAAGCCGATGCACTGGTGCACAAATTTCTGAAGTGGTTCAAGCAAGATGGGCAGGATGTGCTGTTAAAAAGAGCGGTGTAGTCAAATCTGCGACGTTTGAGCGTGCCCCGTGCAACAGGATCGTTGCCGTGGATACCTCTGCTTGCGGCCAGCATGAATCCGGAAGAGACCTCGCTTTTTAGAAAGAAGCTGACTGGGGAGACACACAAGGCAGAGGGAAAGAGGGTGAGGGGGTGCGAGAGGAGTGGAGGAAGTGTGGGGTGAGCACAACCTGGGAGCGTAGTGAACCCCTGAGGATGAAACGCAGCGATAAGGGAACAAGGAGAGAGGGATGGAAGGGGGGTGGCGAAGCGTAACTTCTCAATACTCCAAAGAGCCACTTTAGAGCAAGAAATTATGTGTCGGAGGCATAAATACAACACCCCTCACATAATGTTCATGACAATATGTCTAACTGAGCAAACTCTACCTGTGGGTACCCTTTAATTTACAAGCTCATGACATGAAGAACAAACCTGCATGGGGCTTCTGCCTTCCTGAGAACACATGGAGGGTGGATGATGGATGCCATGAAAAGGACAAAATCAACATAAAAAGGAAGACAGAAAAAGGAGACTGATGAGTGATAAGTGGGAGGCAGGGGGGTGACTAGAGTATGAGTTTAGCATACAAAGACGGTGAGAAGCAGCAGGGCCTGCAACACAGCGGTCTCAAACCATGTTAGTGAACGGTTAGATCAACAACACTCCCATGCAGAAAGCTGTGTGGTCAGTCCTCTTTGAATGTGCTGCTCTGTAACTTGTGTCTGACGATGAGTGTGACAGCTGGCAGACTTTCGGCCACCTGTTTGGATGAACTGTGAAGCTGGAAGGGGTGGCGAGGTGCGTACCTGTCCCCCGACAGGTAGGGGGAGCTGTAGGGCCGCAGCCCAGACAACAGCGTGTGGTAGGAGTTGTGAAGAACCTTCTTGGTCTTACGCTGTCGCTGGAGGTGACTGAACAGTAGCGTCAGTTCTCTGACACCAACGTGCACAAATAAAAAGACACATGACAAATGAACAAAAAAAAAAAAACTATGAAAAAAAGCCACAAAAAGGCCAAAACAATGGTTCAAACACTCAAAAGAAGAGGGATACATGAGGAAAATGAGATATGCACAGAATATATGTATAGTTTAGAGATGAAACTAGAGAAAAAAGTCTAACATTCCCTTTAAATCTGATTGAAAATGGCTTCCAGGGATAGTTATGATATTTTAAGTGGGGTTCCATGGAAAGGTTAGGAGTAACTAACATCTTACCTGTTATAGATAACTTTGAAAGAACTTTGAAGAGTTTAGTCTGGACCAGTCTAAGAAGCTAAAAACTTATTTGAGCACGACCAAGACCAAAATGGATTGCTGCCAACCTAAAACAACTCCAATCTCAAACCCTTACACTGCTGCCACGTTGTATTACCTGGTATTCCAACAGAAATATCATAATTTTTATACAGTTTTAATTCTAAAACAGCATTTTCATGAACTGCTCTGAATTTTTGAGATTGGAGACATTTTAAGACAGCAGCAATCTATTTTGGTCTTGTTCCAACTCGGACTAGCCATTATCTCATCTGTCCAATCAGAGTTAAAGTCTATTTCTCCAACCTGAGGCTGTTCAAAGAGCTATCTACAACAGGTAAGACATTCTTTGTTCACAACTTTTCTAGAAATGCCTTTTCTTCAAATAATAGGAAATATACCTTTAAGGTTATAAACATTTTTCTTTAATTGTTTCATTTTTAGCATCCTTAATTAAATCAGTTCTCCACGTTGGTAGAAAACATCAGATTTTCAACTTCAGGGTTGGTGAGATTTAATTCTGTAATTATTATTTAAATAAGCAAGTTTTGAACCCTAAATGTACATGACGTGATAATTCACAAGTTTCGCACATATATCTATCTATATATATATATATATATATATATATATATATATATATATATATATATATATATATATATATATAATTTTATTATTTATTTATTTATTTAATTTTCAGAAGATGCACTTTGATGTTTCTCATGTTCCCCTCCTTTTAAGCAAATAAAAATTAGTTAAATTAATTCATCAACATGACATTGCATGGAAAGTTTGAAAAGGAGTATTGGGGTCACCGGGACAAATACATAAATACATATAAAAAAGTCATTTTTTGAATTTAACAAATTAAAAGTAATGATGCAATTAAAGTTAAAATGTCAAGTAAAATGTTCACTTATTTATGACATTTTAATGTAACTAATTTTACTTTTAATAAACTGACTTCATACTGAAGACTCAAAATAAATGGAAAATACATTAAATCTGTATTTTTCGTTCATGTGGCCCTAATACTCTGTTGTAGGTCAAACAGACTTCCCACCTAAAATTTTCGACTTGGGACAATTTCTTTTATTTTCGGACAAAAAATGATTTAAAAGAAATTAAGACTGAAAATAGTTTGAGCCATAAAGGAAATTTTTTATAGTTACAAGAATTTTGTTTATAAAATGTTATTGGATTAAAAAATTTAACCCAAAATTTTCAAATTTAGGCATATAAAATTGAAGCAAAAAACAAAAGGGTACCGTGAACATGTTTAATTAGAAAAACCTTGCTCTGCTGTTCAAAATGAGAAATTTTAATACAAAAACGCGGACATAAATTTTTTTTTACTGTAAATTACTAATTCTGGAGAGGATGCTGGTCCGGTTGGTTTTTAGAACTGAACTGTTTATAAAAAAAACATTTTTAGTTGCAAACATTATGTTGGTTAAAGAGTTATTCTGTCTTGTTTTTCACACATTTTATAACTTTCATCATCAGTTTGGGAACATTGCAGCCCCTTTAATTGATAACAGTTGTCTTTTTTTTTTGTTAATTCAGTCATTAGTGTGTTTTTGTCAACATATAAAAGGCAAATTTTTTAATTGAATACACTGAGCAGTAGGAAATGATGAAATGTGCCCCTGTTATGTCATGTTTCATCTGTTTTTATTTAAATCACCTCACAGTTAACCAGATTATCTCAACTTATAACCAAGTTTCTGTCACATCCAATTTACAGCTAATTTCATTCAACAGATACCTTTTTGCTATTTAAATTTTTATGATTTAGTAAGTATTTTACACATTTAATAATTTGAGTAAAAACCTATGTCAGTGATTATATTCAGTAGTTCTAAATATTACATTATTAACTTACAGTATATGTTCTCTTAACCTAATATTCTTCCTTCAAAAATGTTGAAAACATTAACTATCCTACAAATAAAATTGATATTTTTCCAGCTGATTAATTAAAAGTATCTTCGAGGAATCGTTCTGCAAATACAGTGGACAATGATTCTTTAGAAAAGTGCAAATTAATCTATATTTACTTCCCGAATTGAGCAATTTATGGAATTGTTTTCAAGGTTTTAATTAATCCAACTCAAGATTTCCTTTTTTTTTTTTTCAATCAGTGCAGAATCATCATTAAGAGGCCAGGTTTACTGACATTTAGCAGCAAAATATTAATATTTGTACAAAAATTTTTAGGATTTTGGTTCTTTATTACCTAAAAATTCCCTTGTGACTTTATTCATGGTGTCTGTCTTTTTTTTTTTTTTTTGTGCTTGTAAAACACATGAATGAAGATAAAATACTTTCGATCTGTCCAAATGAAAACAGCTTTTTAAAAACTTAAAAACTTTCAAATCTGAGCCATGATCTTTAGAAGTAGCTGTAACATGATAAATAATTTCCTAAGGACTCAAAGGAATGTCTTACAAGTTAAAAGGTGAATTCCAAAATTTGAGGTGGGGAATTTTTAAAACATATGAATGAATGAATGGACACAGAAAAACCCAAATGCAAAAAAAGTGAATAATAATAATAAATAAATTGTGTAGCACTACATTATCAAAAAGGTAACTAAGTAGTGGTGGCAAAGCATAAAAATTTAATGGAAAGCAAATCAACACTATTTCTTAAGGTAGCAACCCTACCTGGGCTGAAAAGGAGTTTTCAGATATAAAGTTGCCGTTTTATCCCAAATGATTGGATGAACAGAGGGAAAGCAAATTCTCACACATCTTATAATTCACTGTTTTCAGTGACATATGTCACTCGTGAATGATTCAAGTTTAAATAACGATGGCCACCGCCGATTTCTGATTCTTGCTGCATCACTGCCGGTGATGAGACGTGATGGGAAAACCTACCTGAACGAAGGCAACATGCTGTCGTAGAAATACCACGTAGCTGTTAGATACGAGTGTTTGGCATCTGTAGAATAGAGACGCCACGCTGCCTGGAGAAAAACCCACACAAAGGAGGAAAATAGTGCAAATTACCTCCGCACAATTGAACGCTGAGCCGTTAAATATTAGAGCGGCTGTCTTCATATTTTTTTTATTATTTTTTTTTACCTGTATGAGGTTTGCAGCTGGCATCCTTCTCTTCTCAAAGTGCTTCTGTCTGTGCTGCTCTTGGACCTTCAAGGCAAAACCTGAACCTAAAATTCCCTGAGGGTCAAAGTTCAAATCAATGTCAGAACGGCATCTTGTGATTTAGACGCCTCAAAATGTTGGGATATGATGAAAAATAGGAGGCTTACAGCGGGAAGGGCAAAAAAGGAGACGCCCAGAAGGGCAAAGCCGGCAGCCAGAAGCCGTCCTTGCCATGTGTGAGGGGTCTTGTCACCATAACCAATGGTGGTCAAAGTTATCTAAGCACATGAAGAAATAAAAATCTCACACACAATTATAAATGGAAATTGTTCGGAGTTGGCCAAACGGTGTATGCTTTAAAACAGGAAATTGTAACTTCCCTACAACCAAACAGCTGGAATAAAAACTCTACAAAGCAAATAAATAAGAACATTTAATCATGTTTTAATATCTGGGAACTGTTCTTGATGGCAAACTGACCTTTGACCCCCATGTGAACTCATTTGTACAAAGGCCCACCAGAGAATGCATTCTTATCGGAAGCTCCGTGATTTTAATGTTGATTCTACTTTTGTGAAAATGTTTTATTGAGTCTCTTTTAACTTTTACCTTCATCTGTTGGTTTGGACTTTTAACATGTAAGAACAGGAACAAACTCTCTGGGATTGTCAGGATGTGCAGCAAAACTTCTGGCATAGCCCTACGAAACCTCACTGACCTACACAAGGCGAGGTCAGTGAACAAGGCCAGGTTGATTCTGGCAAATCCTGATCATCCACTCCATGGTGAATTCAGGTTGCTTCCATTTGGACACAGGTATCTGCTGCCCAGATGTGGAACAAACAGACTGAAAAACTCATTCATCCCTGTAGTGATCAGACTTCTTAATGAACATCGATGACTTCTGTATTGTTTTTTAACGTCTCAGTGTCTTGTGTAGTATGGATGTTTTGTGTGCCTACTTGACTATTAAACAAATTGCCCCATGCGGATAATAAAGATTCTTGAACTTGAACTTGATTGCTAGAGCTCATCTTTTTATCACAAGATGCAGGATTTATTGTTAATCAAACTATTATCAAACCTTAATGACCTTTTATGCTTGTCCTACTATCATTTTTGAATAAAAACCAGCTCAATACAAAACAAATATAAATACTGGAATGATGTTCAAAATAAGAGATCGTTTTTCCAAAAAGTCTGAAAGTTGGTGCTTTTGCAGTACTTACTGTTCCCCACCAGAGGGAATCTGCATAGGTGCCAAAATCTGTGTTAGTGTCTTTCTCAGCCAGGTAGACAAGAAAGGAGGCGAAGATGAGGACCAGGAAACCTATGTACCAGGCTGTAATCAGCTCCTGAGAGACAAAGAGAAGGGATTATTAATCACAGCTGTGAACAGTAGCAGCATCTTTGCCATCATAAACTCTGGTTTTATTACCATCTCCCTATCGTCACTGCTGGCTAAGTTCTCATCATAATCACATTTGGCTTGCACTTTGACTTTTGTGCATTGATGCATCTATTTATCATCATCACAGATGACGTGTTGTTCTGCCAGCAGAAGGATGTCGGGTGTTACAGTCAGCATTAAAATCAACAACAAACTGACACAACGGAGCAGCTGATGGTGGAGCAGTGAACATCGGCTAATCATCCATTACACTTAAGGTATTTCCTGTCATACTGACGGTTAATAAGTTATTCATTTAATAACCATTAAGGCACTCATCAGTGCTCCTTAAAGGCATAGTTCAGAACTTTTGAACTGAGGTTCTGTGGAAAGGTTATGAACCTGATGTAGAATAGTTTAAGTCAGGGGTGTCCACATGTTTTCATATGTGGCCCAGAACTATCCAGATGAAAAGACTCGTGAGCCACAACATGTGAATTTAACTCTCAACGTGACCAATATTTTGGAGAAAAGACACAAGTTTGCTCATTTTGGTGGAAAAAAAGTTTTAAATTGTTATAGATCCAAAACAGTAAAAGCCTCATAAACACTAATTATATATATATATATATATATATATATTTTTTTTTTTTTATTTATTTATTTTTTTTTTATTTTTTTTATTTTTTATTTTAATGATTTGATTTATTTGATTTATTGGATCTACATTTATTGTTTTCTTGTGTTTGGAAAGTTCATTTTAGTCTGTTTTCAGCAACAAAAGTATAATATGAGTAAGTGTTCTTTTAAAAGGGGGTCGATCAGCCTTTTGGACCAAGGATGACACAAAAGGCTGATTGAAGGTCTGAAAAATTGTCCAGTTGTCAGTCACTACAATAGATTCATAGAAAGTTTGATAAAGTTGATCAACTCGTATGTAGATGATACAGTGTTATATTCATTTAAAAATGTCCAATTTCCCTCTTGATTATTTTATTAACTGCAATATTTAGCCAAGTTTTATGAATCATTATCTAAAACTCTCATTTCTGGTAGAAATCAGTAAAGGGTTTTTGGTACTTTTTACCATTAAGTGAAAATAGAAAGATTATAGCCAAAGTTTGTATTTTGCTTAATATTGCTCATTTTGAGAAGATTGTTTTAATCTGTTTTGCTGTTAAGCCTAAACATTACATAAAAAAGGATTACCAACTAATTTGCAGAATGTCTGCATCGACCTCTTAAGCCTGTTGGTCAAAATGATACTATTCTTAAAGTGCAGCTGTAGGCCACACAAAATCACTCCAAGGGCTGCAAATGACCCTCGGGCCGCACTTTGGACATCTCTGGTCTAAGTGGAGCCAAAGTAGGTTGTTGCTGTTTTAAAACAACTTCAGTGACAAAAATTTCTTAAATCTTTAAATCACTTTAGGCAGGAATACAGTTAGTATAATTTATATACTTATTATATGTAATTATTATATAATTGTTAATATTATAATTTTTCTGCCAGAATAGCAATTTAAAGTGAAATGAATAAGGTTTTAAAAATAGGTTTATGGTTTAAAAAATAGAATTTACTTGACTTGCTTGCTATGAAAACGTTAAGACTGGAGTTGTTTCAAAATGGCAGCAAACCACTTTTAGCAGTTGTTATAAATATAATCTGAAATTAAATCTATTTTTCCAAAAGGAAGATATTCAGTGAAGATATTAGTTGTTTATAACCTTTCCACAGAACTTTAATGATCTAAAATACTGCTTTATTGGCAGCGCTCAGCCTTCTTTATCCTTTATTAATTCATTCAACCCTTACGTATTGATATACTTTTACACTTAACTGCTTAACAGCTTTTAATTTCTCACATGAGCCAAAAGACTTGTTTTTTGTTAGCAAAAAGGGAATACCATTTTGTTTTGCCCACCTTGCTGTGAGCATAAACCACTGAGCCAAGTAGTTTCCAGGTGCCTCCCCGCCGGTCCATACGAACCATACGCAGGATCTGCAGGAAGCGCATGCTGCGCAGGGCCGACGTGGCGAAGATGTTTCCCTGCGTCCCAGCAGCAATCACTGCTAGTGACGCTATGAACACAATAAAGTCTGCAACAAATTTTTAAAAAGGCAGTTTTATCATATAACAGTTAGGATTTTACACAAAATATCACTGTTCATGTGCACACGCTGACCTATGACACAGAAGGGTTTCCTGGCAAATCTCAGACGTCCCTGCCATCCGCGATATCTGCAACAACATCCAGCTGCCCAGACCCTGATGAAGTACTCCAAACCAAAGACCACAATCATGACGAACTCCTGCAAATCACACAAATAATGATTTTCATTATCTACAGATGGACTTCAATAAAAGGCCCAAAAGTGACACCTCATCTCAAAAACATTACACAACTGTATACTGTACTGTATTTTTCATACTATAAGGTGCACTTAAAATACTTTAATTTTCTCAAAAATCAACAGTGAGCCTCCAGTGCGCCTTATGTATTAATTCTGGTTGTGTTTATTGACCTTGAACCTATTTTTTATGGTTATTTAAGTTAGACTTATTTGACTGTTTTGTTTCGCTTAATGCGCCTTATAATCCGGTGAAACTTATAGTCCGAAAATAAAGGTACATAAATTAAATCTCCAACCTAAACTGATTGATAAAATGAGGGCTGAAACATTGCGACGTGATGTCATTTTAAACTGATATACTTTTCTATCTAAAAGTTTTGATAACAAATTTTATAACGTCCAAAATTTCTGGAGCACACGGGAGGTGCACAAAGCCAGCCTGAGCAAACGATTGTGTCAGCACAGTCCACTCACCGTTAAGTGGCTGCTAATGAGTGATTGATCCCAAGTTTAAACTGAATGACAGTGAGAGTCGACTCGCCGTTAAATAACACACAATGATGAGGAGGGTGGGAAAAGAGAGGGGAGGAGGTGTTTGAGTCGAGTTAGGAAGAAGGTAGTGAGTGTCCATTACTTTTCACTAAAGCAGCTAAAGCATTAAGAGGTGCGATTAAGGGAGTTGCTTTTAGGATTAGTGCAGCATGTCTGTGGTTTCCTGTCAACAACACCTGAATCCTATCAAATGCTCACTGGGTGTCTGTGCTGTTACTGCCAAACAAACAGCACACATGCAAGCACCTCTTCTACTTCTTCTTCTTTCGGCCGTTTCCTTTTTATAGTCATCCTCCTCCATCTCACTCTGTCCTCTGCATCATCTGTCCTCACTCCAACTACCTCCATATATCTCCTTTTTGTCTTTTTCCTGGCAGCTGCATTTCTAACATCCTTCTACCAATATACCCACTGTCCCTCCTCTGGTCATGTCCAAACCATCTCAGACTGGCCTCTCTAACTTTATCTCCCAGTTGTTTATGGCACGGTCAGTGTAGGGTAGATTGGACCCAAAAGGCCAGCAGACACGGGGAGACTTAAAAGGTAAGTCGGGAGGGAAAAGCACAGGGAGGCACGAGGCGCCTTCTCATCCTCAGCATTTCAATGCATTGTTGACCTTGTGTTGATTTGCATATGACAAATAAACCTAACCTGAGGGAGCACGAGGAGCACCGAGACATCTGAGCATTTCAGGACAATGAGCTGCTGCCCTGGTAGTGACTGGAGACTGGTAATATACAAACTGGGGGGGGGGGGGGGGGGGGAGGAAAGTGGAAACACCTGGAATAATTGGTGATTGGAGACAAGTGAGGGTGGTGACTAACTGGAAAACATACTGAGGAAGCTGACGAAGGGTAAATGAGATATGACACTGGAAACCATGAACACGAGGATGAATCTAAATATGATAAACAGAAACACGAGTGGATAAGAATCTAAACTAACAGGGAACATAAAAATAACAAGCTCGTGAACAAAAGATCTCAAAGAACCTAACAAATAAACTCAAAGAATCACTGACTAATCAAAACAACAACACACGGACATGACAGTTCAGCCTGTGCTGTACCTCTGATGATCTCATTCCTAACCTTATCCATCCTTGTCACTCCTAAGGAGAACCTCAACATCTTCATTTCTGCCACGTCCAGTTCTTTCTCCTGTCTCCAGACCATACAACATAGCTGGTCTCACCACTGTCTTGTAAACTTTTCCTTTGACCTTTTCTGTCATTCTTTTTTTAACTACCGGGAACCACTCCTGAAACTTTTCTCCATCCTGCCTGGACTCTCTTCTTCACCTTTTTACCACATTCCTCATTTTCCTGGATAGTGGATCCCAAGTACTTGAATTCCTGCACCTTTTTGACCTCTGCTCCTTGTAACCTCACTGTTCCACCAGCCTCCCTCTCATTCACACATGTACTCCGTCTTACTACGGGTGACTTTCATTCCTCTTCTTTCAAGTGCATACATCCACCTCTTTAAGTTCTCTTCCACCTGTTTCCTGCTCT